CCGTGAGATCACAGCTGGCTCCGCCCAGCTGTCATTTGCAAGGTGTTCGGCCGGCTCCGGGTGTCACTTCGGCTCAGTCGAGGCGAAGCATATGCCTTCGGCTCGGCTGATCTGCTCAGCTGCCTTAGGGAGCTGTACGGGCTATAGTGAATATACCGAAGGGCTCTGGCGGCCGAAGCTAGCCGAAGGATCAGCCGGTGCTGCGGCTGATCCTTCGGCTAGCTTTGTGAATAACCCTCTAAAGCAGCAGTTCCCGTCTAGGTTGCTGCACTGGGTCCTAAGACTTCGACAGGGTCATAATTTGCACTCGTAAATTGTATACGTTGCACTTGATTGATATTTGCACATTTATGTATATAAGGGAGGATTTGTACATTTTACACACCTAGCAATTGCAAAAGTTGAACTTTATTGTAAACTTGCATATTTTTTATTGGTTTATGTTTTGCTTTTGCATATAATAGCACCACACTTTGATATATAATATATTGTCTCTGACCAGCTTAAGACTTGTTGAGATATTTATCTTCAAGAGAAGCTTTCATGATTGGGCTCATGTGCTGAATATTATTCTTAAATATGAAACATGTATAGTCCTGTCTTATTAAAGTAGTATTAAACTCTCAAACTTTTTTCCAATAATACAGATCATACAAATATACTTTGCCCAGCAAAGCATTGCTTTATTTTTTTGCCCAAATACTTATAATCATCATGTTTCTGAAAAGCTGCTTCCAAGTCTCTTAGCTCAGCTTTCCTGAACTTCCTGCCCAGTACAAGATTACAAAGGACAGAGCAGACTCCAGCAACTATTCATCTACTAGCTTAAAGCCCTTGCGTTTCATTAATGCATATGTGTTAACAGGGGTTATGGCATTAACTTAATTGTTTTTAGATAATGCAGCTCATTCATTATGAATAGGCTGATAACAGACCACAACTGATAAAAAAAAATTGAATGACCCTTTTGGCAAAAACGCAGTGCACCACATCACACGTAATATGAATCGTGGTGCACTACATTGTGCATTGGGCTGAACCGTACAATGCGTTTTTGTATTCATACAGATCATACCAATCTAGTAACCCCAGTCTAAGAATATAGCAAGTTCAAAAAAATGCTACCTTCACAATGCTGGTTATCCCTTACATGCTTCAGTGATGAGTGATTGTTCATTGACAACTTTCTTTTAAAAGCTGCAAATTCAGCAGATTGGAACACAAATGGGTCTATTGGGCATAATACCTAAGTTGAAGCATCACCTTTGGTAGAAGGTTGATTAGATTGGCATTACAATTGGAAGTCTATTTTTATGAAATAGAAAAAAAGAGAAGCCCTCGGGTTGTCTGCCTGTCACACATCCTACACCAAGTAGGATACAAACATGTGTGCATGGCAATATTAGGTCAAAAAAGATCTTTTGGTAACTTGATTTATGTCTAATAACCATATCATGTTTATAGACCTCTTAATTTATTGATGCCTGTAGTTTTGTTTACAGATTAAATAAATGTTTGGGTTTTTTTTTTTTTGATTACTGACAGGCTTCCAAAATTCTCTTGTATATTACTGTCTGAGAAGGAGGCTTGCTACACTGACTGTGCTGTCAAAAATATCTCCGTAAAAAAACAATTCATACATTCTGTAGAATGTTAAAAGAATATTTTGACATGCTAAGTAGAATATTTTATAAATTATTTAAAATGCTCTTCAATGATGTGTTCTTTAAAAATATATAAATAGTCTAAACTGACCTAATACAAAGTATCTAAGGATCTCTTCTGTGCAGGTAGTAAAGATATAAATAAATATTAGCACCCTGGCCATGAATACAGTCAACACATACACACACACACTTAATATGCAAGTGATCATCATTTTCCCCAGGAGCCTGATAATATATACGCATAATCATTTGTTAAAAATGTGTTATATTCACAGGTGTATTTTCAGTTTGGCTCTGCAGTTTCTTTTCGTAAACTATTCAGAGAATGCAAGTTGCACCAAGTACCAACATAATTTAATTTACACAATAATCCTTATGAATTAACTGGAGAGCGAAAGGTTTAGGCATACCATATCCATCTTGATCACAATAGAGTCCCTATCCTTACTCTTTATATTGATGCAGCACATGACGTTGTTACCACTTTAGCCTTGCAACACTGTGGTTCTAGTTTACTGTGCATAACTTATGTATGTATCTATGTGCCTTTGTGTGGATTTATTTCCACAACTTAAAAGCATACCGACAGGATAATGAGTATCCTGTACCATAATATATCTATCTATGAAGACCTATTTACTTATCACAAAAGGACTTGATGGAACTAGATAGACTTACATTCACATACACAGTTAACTAGCGAAAAACACATTTGGTTAATAGTTTGCAAAACATGCTATTTTTGCATCCATATTGGTATGCTATGGCCCACTGAGGACCAATGGTCACAGAGAGTCTGCCTTATTTTCAAATCCAATATCTGTACCAGGGGCATTGCCAAGATGGTGACCTGAGCAGGCATTGAGGCACAGAGTTCTGTGCTGTCAAACTATCCTGTATACGTCTATATGGACACCTGTGGATCACAGAGCTTAAAACCCATTACCAGGCCTCACACAGATTTTCGGTGATGTTTAAGGCAGGGATCCCAACCTGAAAAAAGTAATTTCAGGGAGGTGCCCTTCTCATTTCAGGGAGGTGCCCTTTGCCCCCACCTGGGAGAGCACCCCCCTGAAATGATGGCAGATAGCAACAAAGCTATTGCTTCCCGTGCTATCTGCTGGTTTTTCCAATAGCCAATAGCAATCTGCCTATTGCACTCACCATCTGCTGCTGTCAATCAGCAGAAGAGGACCTGAATGAATAAAATTAATAAACTCCTCACTTGCCACAATATAAAATGTTTTCTATTGTTTAAAGGCTCTAGTCAAGTTAATAGGCTGAGAAGTGCACTCTGCGTAAAAGATGTCTCCAGTCTGCTGCAGCAAAAAGGACACATTTTCTCAGTCTCCTTTCCCCCAGTCATCACTATGTAACAAAGACTGTAACATTCTACCTTAGCAGCAAGTCACCACGTACGAGGCAGCATTAGACAGCTAATTTGTATGAGACATACTCACAGCCAACAACATAAAGGCTACAGCACAGCAACAAAGATCTGGATGACTGTGACATCTCGCAAAAGATTTTACTTAAAGCAGTAAATGCTGACTCCATATAATGCCTTAGCAAAAATTGTGGTGGTTTTCTGTGAAGGTAAGCACACGATCAAAAATACCTACATATGTTACAATGACACATGAAATAGCATGCTGCACACAACAAAAAAAAATTGTGTGATGTTGGGGCTGCTTTAAGTCAGTGCAATGCTTATAAAGATCCCAGTAGATATTAGGACAATTCGAGAAAACCACAATCACCCAAATAAGCATTTTTTGGCCGATAAAATATGAATTGTTCTTAAAGAAGTCTGTAGGATGTATAAGCAATGTTTGCTATGTGTGTTTATTTTCTGGGATATTGGTACACTTTATGGCCAAAAGTGACCATCACACCCATATGCGCATGTTGGACATCCAATTTCTGAACCAAGGGCATTCATACGAAGTTGGTACCCTCTTTGTGGCTATAACAGCCTCCACTCTTCTGGGATGGCTTTCCATAAGATTATAGAGTGTGTCTGTGGGGGTTTGTGCCTATTCAACCAAAAGAGTATTTGTGAGGCCAGGCACAGATGTTGGGGACCTTCCTCACAATCCTTGTTTCAATGTATCCCAAAGGTG